TGCAAAGAGATGTAAAGCGGGCCCAGAAGTTTCCTGTAGATGCAGAAGGTTCAAAAAGGTTGGTTTTGGTCCTTGGATGTCCTTGGTAATGTCACTATACCCATTGTTTTTGTGCTTCAAACAGATTGGACGTGGCAGCCAAACCGCTGGGTCGCACGGAACCCTGAAGTGAACGTGGCCTTCAGGTGAACTTCTCGGACTTCGAGGCGGAAACACCGTCACGCGGGTGTTTCCGCCCCGGTTCGGCTCCGCTCCGCGCAGGTGGAGCTCCTGGACCCCACCGGAGAGCTGCTGGACGGTGTTTCGGCCGAACGACGCGGGGCGCGCCGCGTCCGGCGCGTCGCCGTCGCCGCGTCCGCCGTCGCCGCGGCGCCGACGCGAGGCTTGGCCGAGGCGCGGCGCGCGGACCTGGCGGAGGCGACCGGAGGTCACGAGGCGGTGCTCTTCAGCCTTGAGGAGCTTTTTCGGAACAGAGCAAAACAGAGACGGGGGTCGGGCAGGTGAGTTTGGTGGTACATGTGGGTCTGAGTTGGCGGGGATTGGTGTGTTTTGGGCAGGTGTCCGCAAAGTGATCAGTGAAGGACCCAGAGTTTGGGTGATGCTTCGAGTCTATCTATTGGGTTCTTTTGATGGGTCTTGTGGTAACCCCCCAAACTGATGCAACCCCAAAGTCTCGAGGACTGCGGAGTAGTTTTCGTCTCTGCCAACGGTGGTTTTCGTGGAGTCGTTCGAAAGGAGATCCTTTGTGCTATCTCCAAGTAGGGAGAAATCGGAGATCCAGACATCAGGAATCCAGTAGCTCAGATGCATCCCAAGGCACAGGGAATGGCAAGGTCCGCTGATTGTTCTCCCATCAAACTTCAAGCCCAACCAACAGAACGCGGCCTTGCATCATTTTCCCTCAACCAACCAGTGGGGAAGATGGGCCATGTTGGCCGATTTCATGGCCTAGATCTCATAGACCCATTGGATGCCGGACGATCTTATGGATGCGGTACGAACCGCACCAACCAATCATGCGGCACGTGGCGGGTGAGGATATCCAGGAAGAGCTGGATGCCTTCAGATGGCTCAGTGCGGAGGCTGTCGGCAAAGGAGAGGGTTCTTTTTTCGGTTACCGATGAGTGCAGATATCCAAAACACTGACACTGATTCAAGAATCGTGGATTCAGGGAGTTCTTTGGTGGTGCAGGAGCAAACCATGACCTTATCTGGGTGGTTTGCTTGCCTTTTCCAATTGTTTTCCCTCCTCGAGAATGGGGTACAGCTGCCAGAACGGTGCAAGTGGTATTCCCTTTCCCAGGTCGGGTGAAGCACACCTCTTTGCGATACACCAAAGTTAAGGAGTTGATGTTGGAGGAGAGTGAGGTTTAGCTGTTTAGCTTTCTACTCCGCACTGGTCCGCCAATGGACATAAGGTCCCCGAGTTGTCTGGCTTCAAGAACCCCACCAAGCTGGCTGCCATGCCGATGCCTCCCTGTCCCGAATGTCGAGCGATCTCAAAGAGTGGCTCTGAGCGAGAGATCTTCGTCGATGCATGCTGCCTGATTTGTACTGAAACTCAGCGGCCCTTCATTCTGTTGCCATGCAACCATGGGATGTGCAAAGACTGCTTTCAGCGTTGGGCAGGACCTCCACCTGCACCGTCTGCACCGTCTGCACCGTCTGCACCTCCGCTGGCACCGACGGGCTTGGCCAATGAGGAGGGTGCTCCAGTGGCACCAGGGCGCCGTTCCGAGTGCAGGCACCTCTTATATTGTGGCAGAAACCTTGGCACGGCTGCCATCCCAGGTTCGGATGGCCGCTGTGGTCCCGGCAACGGGCCACAGTGTCAGTCCTGTGCCAGCTTTCAGCGGGCATTGATCGCAGACCTACGCATGAAAAACAGTGAAGGTGCCACTGTCTTCCTGGGTTCAGAAACAAACAAGTGGTACTGTGGACGCCGCTTGGGTACAGCAGCCATCCCAGGTTCCGATGGGCGCTGTGGTCCAAGCAATGGGCCACAGTGCCGGTCGTGCCAAGAACTTGACGCTTCCCATCTGGCGAACGACGAAGGTGCTCCGGTCTGTCCGGGGAAGGTCTTGGGGTCTTGGGATGGCCGAAGGAACTTGTATTGTGGCAGAAACCTTGGCAGGGCTGCAATCCCAGGGTCGGATGGCCGCTGTGGCCCGAGTGCTGGGCCTCAATGCCAGTCGTGCCTGCGCTATCAGATTCGCTTCATCTCAGATCCGTGGCCGCTTTAGCTGCATGAAAAGGGGTTGATCCAAATGGTTCTGTGGGATGACAAGAGTCACAAAAACACTCTGCAGTCGGATAAAGAATTCATTTTAATATCAACCCCACATTAGGGTTCCTGTCACCATTTGGGCCCCAAAGGGGCCGTGCCAAAGGTCTTCAATGGTCACCCAGACGCTCTGGCGTAACAGTCAGGGGTCTTGGCTCTGGCAAACGCTCAACATGTTTCTCAGGTCCAGCGGCCTGACTTGTTGGAAGCTCCGCCCGAAAAAGAGCGACGCTTCAGTTCCTCCGGCGTTCAACCATGCCGTTGAGGTGCCAAGGCCATGTTGGCGAGGCGGCGCGTAACGAGCTACCTCGGCGAGTCCATGGGCTCCATCCTCGTCGTTCGTCGAGAGGTGATGCACCAGCGGCGAGAGCTGGAAGAACTGGAGGAGGACGGCGAACTGCGGAGCTCGCAGAAGTGCTGAGCTCGGTCTACGGGGATGTGTTGGGAAGAGAAACGACAGTTGAGCTCGGTCTACAGTGGTTTTAGAGTGAGTAGATGGCAATCCCCAAAAGGTGGTTTATATTGACCCCCATCTAAAAGACATGTAGGGGTTAGTGCCATCTACTCTGAAACCACTGTATAAAATTGTACAGATTGGTAGCCATATGCAGGAGATGGCTGTCTATATTTAGTTTACCAGGTCTTGTTGAGCTGTTTCATGTGTTTGCCATCGACTGGAGAACAAAGAGGCTTGCCCGGGTTCAGAGCGCCAAGCCCAGACTCAGGGGCTCAAGGGTGTCAAACACGATGTGACCAATGAATGAGGATATCATATCTTCGCGTTTTTTTTCACATTACGACCGTTTGGTCGGTTGGGCATGTTTCGCCGCTCTTCTCGGCGCTCTGGCTGTTTGACAGTTGTTGAAGATCATGATTAGCTGCCACCCACAAAGTCTGAGAGGCTTTGATAGAACCATATTGACATCAAAGCGCGAAGAGTGCTGGGGATGAATCAATTACTTGGAGCTTCGCAAGGGTACATCGTGAATTGCTTGGGGTTCATGTCTGGTTGACAAGACAAGTGGCCTCATAGCCGGGCCACGTCCGTGGCTGGGTCGCAGGAGAACCGGCGCATTCGCGAGGACAGGGTCAGTCGATTCTTTTGGGGTTGGACTGTGCCGAAAACAAGTCTGTTCTCAACGTCTCAAGACCTATGGTGCGTACCACGTGGAAAAATATGAGTATATATATATACATCTTTACCCTGGGTATCCCTGGGTGGTCTTCTTGTTTCTAAACCCCTTTGCCTCGTGAGGAGCAAGCGGCGATCCGCGAGAAGTACGAGGATCTCATGGACGAGGTTCAGAGCTTTTGCATGGGCAACGGTTGTGGCTCAAAAAATAGAGAGTCTTTTGTTAGACGTGCAACGGTTCCACCTGTGTCACTAGGGTCAGGGGTTCCACAGATCAGTGTTTCTCTGTTTCAGTTGATTCAGGGTGCTGGTGGGCGGATCAATCGGACGGTTTTGAGTACTTTTTCTAACTCAACTATCCAGTGGCAAGAGAATACAAAGAACGATCTATGTTCAGCACCTCTGGGTCAGCATTAAAGTGCAGGGTGACCATTGATTGAAGAGAGAAATAGCCTTCCCCCCACGACCATCGTCAAACACAGGGGATGTCAGTCCCACTTTCGGTCAGTCCAATGTGAGGCTGAGCGTGAGGAGCTCGAGGAATGGGCTCGAAGTGAGGAAGGAACGTCAAAAAGTGGGCAGCGGCCTCTGCCGTGCGACCGCACGGCCCTGGGGCGTGGCACTTGCTTTGATACAGGTTGATGGATGTGTGAGATCAGTGGACATCGGAAGCACCAGCCCATAGCCACATGTGCGACTGTGTTTGCATCGCTTGCGGGTTCTCGCGCAGGCCCTATTTGTATCTATTTGTTGGAACAAGGAATAGCAGAATGACATGTTCTTCCCCAACAGCGGATCCGAAGGTCTCGAGAACACGACACATGCGGGACACCGACGGGTCGTTGTCCCATAGAGCCCATGAGTTCTGGGTACTGCTCTGCTCAAGCTCTGCTCTTTACATGAGCGAGGACCAACTCCTCGACAGGAAGGGCCATGAACCACGAGGGGCCATCGACACCTTCAAGCTTGGGACTGGCTGCATGGTTGAGCCAAAAACCACTGTCCTCAGAGACATTTTGCACATCTTCGGCGCCAGGTGTGGGGGATGCCAGGCCATGTTGAGGTTAGACAAACCAGCAAATGTTGACCCACCACCACCACCACCACCACCAACAACAACAACAACAACAACAACAACGACTTGGTGCATCTGCGAACCCCGAAAAGACCAACTTCAACTTAAAGGGATTCTCTTGCTGAGCGCTAGCGCATTTGTTCTTTGCTGCGGTGACTGCCATGGCGAGTTATGTGTCGTGCTTAGAACTGTTGAGAGGATGTAGACCATGACACCAGCACTGAAAGATTCCAGTTTGCTGATAGGGGTCACCCACACCCTGCAACAGCGGAAGCCGCTTTGCAACCGCCAGACCCTTAGACCTGGACCGTGTGGTTTAGAAAGAAGACAGCGGAAGCCGCTTGCACGCATGACGACACTGTCGTTGAAGGTTGGAGCAGTGCCCGGTCCTTCCGTCGTTTCATCTCCGCGCATCAAAGGGGGCACCGCTGTGATTTGCGCAGCCCGGTGGGGATTGGCATGTGCAATTCTGAGGTCGCTGAAGCTGCTCAGCACCAAAACATCGTCACCACCTTAGTCCTGAACGACGGTCTTGAATGAAGCAAACTAAGCAAACCACCCAAAACTAGGTAGGGCTTCAGCCGAGCCACGGAAGAACTTGCCATAATTTCAGCCCATTTGCCGCCATCCGAACTTGCTCCATCAGCTAGAACGTAAGGAACCTTAGGTTCATCCCACAAAAGCGCTTGGGTCGTTCATTATGAGTATTCACCATTATTCATATCAATCTTCATTCATAACGTGTTGTTGTTGTTGTTCTTCTTCTTCTTCTTTTTGGATGTTGTGTTTTGCTGAGGATGCGGTGGTGGAGATGCTCTCACAGGGCTATGCCGTGGGCGGCCAGGCACAGCGATGAATGGCACGGCGAGTTCCTGCGTGCCCGCCGCTGTCGATGCACGGTGTCCGGCGTTCAAGGCTTCAAAGAGTTTTATTTTGACTTTTGACGTCTTGATTATATTCTTCATTGTTTTGTTTGTTTGTTTGCTTGTTTGCTTGCTTGCTTGCTTGCTTGCTTGTTTGTTTGTTTGTTTGTTTATTCTTTCAACAGGTATGGCTTGATGATGGATGTTATGATTGGTTTAAAACCAGGATACAAATTGACCATTGAAGCGAAAGGTTCCGCCATATATATATATATATATATGCTAGCCCCCCCAAAAAAACCTATGTATCTGAGCGCTGGTGTGCAGTTGGTAAGCATATTTGTTCATTTAACTATGTACTACAAAAATGTCCAAATCCAGAAGGTTATGTGTTTACTAAACAGTTCTTGGATGGAGTAATCTAATTCATTGCAACTCCATGCAAAACCATATGTCTTGTTTTTAGGTGTGAATTGTACTGCTCTTATTGAATGCAGTTGAGCAAGTACATCATAATCAGAAGGCAAAGAATTGCAAACCCTAAATAACTAAATTCCAGTTTAATTCTAATTAAACTTGAATTCCAATCTATTCAACTCTACTCTACTTTGTATATTCAAATTTAAATTTGAGTCTATTTCAATTATTTGTAAATTCTATTTTGATTCAAAGGTCTATCACTATAGATTATAATTTACTTGGGGTTCAATGCAAGCCTAACTTTAATTCGATTTCAAGCTAATTCTAACTTCATTGCTATACACGTCAGATTTAATTCAAATAGTGTGTTATTTTTATTTTTTTAAAATTTGAGTGAAGTTGTCACTTTGAACATGAGAGATTTTATGTAGTTTTTCCAATATAGAAGCATGTGCTTCCTTAAATGAATTAAATTTACCACCAGCAACACCCACTCTCTAGAATGACACCAAAACTGAATTAGAATTCCATGTGCATTGAACTAGAATCAAAATAGGATGAAATTAGACATATAGAAACCACACCTATTTTGCAATGACAATAGTGTAAAATTAGATGTGTAAAACAATTGAATCTGAACCGTATAAAGGCATTAACATTAGACATTAATTACTAGTAAATTGGAAAAGTCAAAGTTACAATTGAACCCAAAAAAGAATGAAATAGAACTAAATTAGAAGTAGACTGGCATTAATTAGAGTTGAAAGAACACACATTGAATAATAATCCATTACTTAAATTGAAATTGACTTAGAACTAAGGTAGAATTGAATTAGAGTTGTTTTACCTAGAGGTTGTATAGTAGAACAGTATTGACTTAGAACTAAATAGGAAACTAAGTTCAGTTAGAATTGAACTAGATCTAATTTGCAATCTTGTGCAAATCTCAATTTGATTTCAAATATATAAAGTTTAATTAGGATCATTTCTGTTTGAATTAGAAGCACGTTGCAGATTCAAATTTAGATTCAAGTTTGAATTCCATTAGATCTAAAATAGCCAGACATAATTAGAATTGAAATAGAAATGAGTAATTTAGAAAAAACTGAATTAGAATTTGTCTATACAATGAAGTTAAGCTAAATAGACTAAATTAGAATTCAATTAGGCTCAACTTAGGCTTAAAGTAGAACTATGCTACATACTCAAATTAGAATCCCCCCCCAAAAAAACCGGTGTTCACCTCATATATAATAAGTGATAATTCCTCAGAATGATTCCTGCCCAGAGAATGCCAGAGAATGCATTCCTGCCCAATACCAAGACCAAGATCCAAGATTTGCACAGAAGTCTTGTGGAAAATCTTGGAAATACCAAGACTGGACCAAGATCCAAGATTTGCACAGAAGTCTTGTGGAAAATCTTGGAATTGGATCTTGGATCTTGGTATTTCCAAGATTTTCCACAAGACTTCTGTGCAAATCTTGG